AATCTGGTAAAGGTGCCAGAACTCACTTCCCATTCTGGATGGCAAAGCGCTTCCTTCAGTATCGGAAGAAGTATTGGTAACAATTCCTGCTTGAATATTGATGCCAGTACATCTAGCGAAGCCGCGGAGCACCGTCCTGAAATAAAACTTGCCAAAATTGGACCCTAATGCTTTGAAGAATCGTGATAAACATACGGATATTCCATTCGGCATATGTCTCATCACTCCCATCGTCATCATTATCCTGAAAAATGATCAACGTAGAACAGCATTATTATTGATGTTGGTCTAAAACAAACTGAAGGGAGGAGAAAGCAGTGTTTGGTACTCACTGAATTTCACCACAATGAAAAAAGTTCAAACGGTGTCAAGAGTCGTCTTTTGAATATTGAAGCGCTTTGTATGGCGTAAGTCAAGTAAGAATAAACAACTAAGAATCCAGTGAATGCACACAGCAGTTGACTATAACGCCTTGAACGAATGAACAGAAAGCAAAGGTGATAGTTTTCAAAACCCACTTCACCATTGAGTTGTCCTGCAGCAACTTTTGATTTATGGAAACGTGGCTTGATGTCTTCATCTCGATCAGGTATCATGGCGTCTTCCTCGTCGCAATTTCCCTTCAAAGAAATGAAAATGCCGATGCATACAGTAATTCCTGGTCAGTGTCATTGAACAAGCCCTGTGTGCAAGAGGGCCAATAAAAAACCACCTCCCTCCACGTAAAACGGAATTATAATGAATACAGTTCGATAAAATTTAAAGCGAATGATCTCAATTAAAAACTGAAGAGCACATTCAAGTCTATCGAAAATCTTCATAGTAATCCTTCAACCCCTACGATATCAGAAGAATTCGCCACAGGAACTTGGTGCGTGGTTCGGGGTCAACGAGGCTCTCGACGGACGTAGACCATTACTATGGAGCCGGGAATGGTGATCAAGAGCAGTCTTGCATAGTCGGAGCAACTGACTCTAGGGAAATACCCATTAGTTAACCGATTGGATTCATATAGCAGCTTCAGGCTGGAGCAATTACGGTGGGCATTATTAAGCCGGACGCTGATGCAGATGATGCCATATTCGGAAGACGATGAGGGCAATGAAAGATCAATGGCGACAAAAAATTTGATGATGCCATGGAAAAGGGACTTTTTTCAGCCGTCCATCCCCTGCCTATGAAGCGCCAGATTGGCCTATCTGTTCAGGAAGACGAATAGTTCTCCAGTCATCACGGTTGTGTGATGATCAGGGCCTGAAGTTAGGCTTGGGTATAGACTTAAGTTTACACGCTCACTTACGCTTGAGCCTAGGGTGAACCTTAGGCCTACTCGGTCGTGGATGTTCTAATCAGAGCGTTTGTCTATTTGCCTATCAGTCTCCCAATCGGTGTCCGTCTCTGTCTTTCGCGATATTTCACACTACCTCAAGAATACCTTGAGGCCGAATTAAATTTAAAACGGGTAGGGGTAGGGATGGGATGTACGAAGCGCACTTAAGCTAAGTGGAGTAATCCACAATGGCGAAGGCGTACGGAATCAGCGGTGCCAACGGCAGAAATTTCGAATAAGATTAAAACAGCCTGAAGACTGAGTATTACAAAGGTGAGCATTGAATGGGAGGTCGAATAAGGGAGATCCAATTGCAGTGGACGAGCGTTTGTTGAATAGGTGATGCTGATAAAGAAAAACTCACAATTCGGTTGTGATAAAGCATACAAAGCATGGAAAATTAATTCAGAACAGCAAAGTTAGGGTACTCCCAGCACACTTCAAATGAGCGAAGGCCCATATACAACGAGTAAAGCACGTCATTTAAGCGACATTTCTACAAATCCCCAGAATTCCCGAGAAGTCTAGGAGAACGAGGAGCCAAATTGCCAAAGCATGCAAGCGGCTGACTTATTTTTATCTTAACTACATGTAAATTAGTACATAATTGTGTTTTACACCTCACCTTGAGCGCAATGATGTCGCTTTCTGAATACCGCATGCATTTAATAAGCACTGGAACAAGTTTTCCAAGAAAAGGCGACAGCAACTCTTTGCACACGTCGGAGTTCTCAGCCAAAGATAACCAGAACTCGCAAGCTTCGACGGCAATGTTCTCGTTCGGGTCCTGAAATCACTGAACTCACAATCATATCAAGCTCTTAAGCACAATCAACAAAAGACATCTCAGGAGTGGCTCATTGAGTCTTCTTCCCGATATAGCCAAGGACCCATTTTAAGTATAGTTGCTCCACGAAACCGTCAATTAATCGGCTCGGACTTCAAACACATTGTCTTCAGCAAAGCCAGCCGAAGGAAAGCGTGCAACCGAAAATAGATGAGGTAGGTCTTCAAATGAGAGCGGAAAAAAGATCACAGGGTTGTGAAAAATAGACTCTGGACAAGGCAATCCTTCGATAGACGTACTTTTCAGTCTTCCCATACTTTACACTCATTTGCTTTCCAAATGAGATTTTGAGAAGGATGAGACTGCAGTGAAAGTATGAACCATGTCTATAGTGACACCTTGCATATGCGAAACGCAATGGCGTTAGGAGCTCACATCGCCTATAGAACATCTTCTCAAATGAACAGGAATTCTCTCAACAAATCCATAAAGAGCTTTTTCTTTTACCCTAACTAATCAGAAAACCTCTCCTTTCTCTTCCGTCATCACGTACTTGCATGGGCGTCGCGCCTAAGCAAAATGAAAAGACGGCTTTAACACCACAAAGATTAAACTTCATTACTTCATTACTTCATTACCTCCACAGTTGATTTTGTTTCAGTCAGAATGGAGACTCGGGTCTGTTGATATCTCCTCTCATTACCGAGTTAGAAACTTTAACAGCCTAGTTTACGATGAAAAGGTAGCTTATTCGAAATAAAGTAGAGGTGTTCAGTGACATAGGGGATGAAGAAGAAACCATGTGAAACAACCGGAACCTGAGAAATGGGACCCCTTGATTCCTTTTGATTTCGGTAATGATGTGGCTCTCATCGTGCCCTCTTCAAAGCGATTACTCCCTCTGCTATGTCGGGAGCGGGGGGGGGCGGGGGTTCCGGTCAAACTAAAATGAACGGCATGTCAGATCGCCGAAGGCATATCTTTCGATCCGAGTTGATGTTGGTCCGCAACCTTAGGAGGTCCGCCGTTTCTCCACTAGGTAAGTTTCACATTCTTTCGATCTTCGTTCTTATCGTGGGATCCTCCTTTGAGACAGCGAACACGATAATTTGGTGCTAACCAAAGAGAAAAAAACAGAAGTGACAAATGAAGAGGCATTAAAAATAAACCTGATAAAGGATAAAGGATAAAGCATTTGCCGTTGATCAATCCCTTTTTGGGATGCGGCACGCATTCTACTTCCATTTGTACATTCGTAGTGGCGTTTGAATGCGATGTGGCCTATACAATGACTTGCGGGGGCCAGCCGATGTACAAGTCAGTGTTTTTATCCTCCCAGACAAGTCTGGTACCAATTAACCGACCCCGGAGGGATGGAAGGCTTGGTTGGCCCGGGCGACTCACGACCCAGGATTTGATCCCCGGACCGCTCGCGTGGTAAGCGCCACTTGCCACTACACCACTTCCGCCCATGAGTAAAACCTGATATACGTCGAAAACCTAAGAGCTGGGACGCCCACTGTCATTCTTGTCCTGAACAAGTTTAGAGCAGAGACGCCTGCCGTTTGGGTGAGGATGCTGTCGACGCAATAGAGGAAAAGATTACAAGATGCGGCGGTTTGATGCGGAATGCACTTTCAAAATGAAAATCTAACACCAATGATAACAATGTCGCACATCTTATGGTTAGTAATCACTCTTAGAGACAGGCCAGCTTCAGGTCTGGGACCTAAATGCGTTGCACCAGCGCACCTTTCGCCGCAAAACCTATCCCTCGCCTCCTTCGCGACAGGCTACCGCTTTCCCTGGTGCAGTCCCATTTTAGCACTCACTTCGTTTAGGTCAGTGGTGTAATGACAAGTGGTGTTATTCCACATACGGGGTTCAATGTTAAAAACGGAATCGAAATTTCCCGAAGCAAGCCGAGCCTTTCCCCTCCGATATCCGTCCGAGATCGAGCCGTCCAACATTCTGGGAAGATAAATGGAATGACTTATACATCCGCTGGTTCTTGCAAGTCATTACGTGGCCCTGAGCTCATTAAAAGGTGACCACTTAAATGGACGTAAAACGAGTGTAACTCCAAAAACACCAATGAATGCCAAAGGCTCTATAATTCCATTTTGTTCTCGAAAACTTCGACACTCAAAAAATCTTGAAATACCGCATCGGGAATTTTTCGCATACCTGAGTTTTCATAATGATATAGTCAATAACATTGGGTAGATGAGGCGCTAACTTCTCGAAATGACTATCCAACAAAAGGGTGAGCGATCGGCAAAGTTGTTTCTGGACTTCCTGTAGAGTCGATTAGCAATCAATTAAGCAAATATGATGACAGTTCTGAAGGGACACTGAATATACCGGATCCTGATCATGAGCCCGACCGAAGAGCTGTTGTAAGAAGTCATCTATCACAGCACTAATTGGATCGTTGTTAATCATTAGAATACTGTTCACCGAATTCATAGACAATCCTCTGAAATTAAGAAGAAAAATACTGAATAGTAAGGAGCTACATAATGTAGCAAAAAAACTCCTTGAGGCAAAAAAAACTGAATGCGCACCTCATTTTTGGACTTTCCGAGCTGAAAAATGACAGAATCTTTGGCATCAATGGATGAACATGTTGTTCTGTATCCAACCGGATCCCCTGAGTCTTCGAATATCTTTTGTATAGCTCCCATCGAGCCCTTAAATTGAAATCAGCGATCACTTTATAATTCGAAAACTTTCAGAATGAAACATTCGCTGCATGAGAAAAAAAATTACGGAGGTGGATATCACAACAAT